ATTCTTTTTAAGTGTGATATATAAATATTAAAAATACTTAAATATTTTATAACATCTATAAAAGCATCTAAAATATTCTATATTATTCACAAATAATGTTTGAAAAAAAAATTATACAAATAATATTTAAATTATAGTAGTAATTAGACTTTTATTTATTTATCTTTAAACTTGTTACGATAGAGGGATGTGATTTTTTTGACTCGTGGACATGGAATTTTATAAGTTGGGTTATGAAATTTTTCTTAAACTCATCCATATCTATGCGATGAGTTTTTTAAGCTGGGTATATAGACTTAAAATTGAAAAAAAAAAAAAAAAAAAAAAAAAAAAAAAAAAAAAAAAAAACTTTAATAAATCATTTGATTTGGTATTTTCAGAGAGCTTCATTAATTTAAAAGTATAAAATAAATAAATAAAAAAAGTACAACTAAAAAAGTTATAACCAGTTGTATGGAGAATTAAACTAAATCCAATTTTGTAGGATGCATTAAATATTGATTAGATTTTATATGTAAATAAAATAAAAAATAACTGGAATAGTTTTACGTGTTGCAATATTTTACATTTAAAAAAATTAAAAAATCTTATTTTACGTATTACATACCAACATTTTAGGAAATACATGGATATTCCTAAATTATATTGCATACCCAATATTTTAGGAACTAATTAAATACTAATTTGATTTGCATACCAAAAATATTAGATGCATTAATTAAATGTTTGATAAAAATAGCAAATCATTAATTAAGGTTGACTATTCTGCATACTACATTTAGTAAATAGTATAGCTTTTCATATAAGTATAGATATGGTAGACGAAAATTCAATATTATCCCGTTTATCACGTCACAATTAAACTAAACAATTCAATGATATTGAATCCTACATTCGCACAAAAATAATACAATTTGATAATTGTCAGAATATCTTGATGTTACTTATATAAAAATAAGAAGGGTACTCCTATAATTTTATAAATGATTATTATAATATTATATAATAACAAATTTTGTTATAAAAAAATAAATAAATAATGTGTTGTGTACATGAATAACTAAAATTGTTGTTTTTTCTTATATCAATGAATAAATTTATATACTAAAACAAATTTATATTAGTATAAACGTGTTAAAGAGATAATATATTAATTAATTTACAGGCTAGCAGTACCAGACTATGTTATATGATTCAACTACATTTTTAGGTCTGTACGACATGCCTATGTCAACGACTCATCTAACTTTTTTTGTTCCGTGCATCGCACGGGATACATACTAGTTTTTAGCACTTGATTTACAAACTTTAAATATCTTAATTAACATGGTTGTAGCATAGTAGCTGTTGGAAATTTTGGTGTAAAAATTACACGGGAATCCTATGAACTGATATGTAATTCAGTTCTTACAAATAATAGAAAATTACAATTGAACTGAAAAATAAATTACAACTGAAAAACGGAAAGATTTTAGCCGAGGCGAGTAAAACTCTTTCCGCAAGAAGAATACGCCCCGTGTGGCAGCTAACGGTTCAGGCGTAACTTCCCCAAAGATACAACGGCAAACGTCTCTAAATCTGTAGCACACCAGATTTACGAGCTCCGGCGAACGGGAACGGAGTCGAGAATTGAGCACTTAAAAATAAAAGGAATATCTTAAAACAAATAAAAATATCACTTGTTTCTCACTTTTGATATTTTATATCCGATATTT